CCCCCCCCCCCCCCCCCCCCCCACCATCTCGAAGCTAGATTTAGTAACACATACTGGCAAAATGGTATAACGCTGCTGATTGGAAGACGAATGATGATTTCATACCCGTCCAACTGGTTTTCAATTGTCAATCATCCTTTGTTTTCTTGCTTCGGATCGGCTTTAGAATTTCTTCCAGGTGAAATGACAATCATTCGAGTTAGTCAGTTACAGAGTTAACTACGACGGCTCAAAGAGAGTCTCACATTCGAGTAAAAATTTGTTAAAACGCTTTTCTGCCCGGCATGGCTCTTTCAAAACAGGTAAGTTTGCATGCAATCAATTGGAATTCTTAAGGTTGTCGTTTTAATAATCAGCTGGTAATGAGTAGCACCCAAAGGCAAACTGTTGCGGCACTCCTTAAATTCGGTGTTAAGAATACTAGCTAATACTTAACTTGAGAACCAAGTACTTATCTTGTGTTAAAATAAAATATAAAGCGGAAAATTAAATTTCCCTTATCCTTAAAATAGTGCAGCATTTATTTCTGGCCTTTTGATATCATTAAATCAAGGATTCACGGTTTGCAGTGTTGCTCTACAGTTCACTGACGCTGCAACTTATATAAGTAACTTTTTGTTTTCCTTTGACAGACTTGAGACAGCTTTAACCATTTAAAAAAATATCTCAATTTAACAAACAGCTTTACCTTTGCCTATAGAGTGAGCAATAGGTGTCGGACAAATTTTGCCAGCGTTTCTTCTCCTGAGTCAGAAATTGACTTGGCAATGTGTTTGATTGCATAATAGTTCCAAGTCATGGTTCAGGTTTTTAAAACGCGGTAGCGGTTATATGTCCACATTTCTCAGGTCAAAAATGATTTCAGCGAAAACTGGCTGGTCTATCCAGGCATTTTTTAACTGAACTGTTTAAATAAGAATAACAACATAATTCGTGACTGCCGTCATAGTTCTATTTCGTGACTGAAATTTGAGAATGTCATTCGACGGATCAGCGGGTGCATGCTTTTAGTAAATATTTAGTTCGTATTAACCGACTGGGAGGTCTGTATTGGAGAATCTTGACCAATGTCGTGAGTACAGACCGAACGCAGTGAGATCTGTACACACGTCCTTGGTCAAGATTCTCAAGTACAGACCGACCAAGCTCGGTTAACAAGGTGTTTCTTTTAAATGGCCAAACAAGAAAACTTCATTCGCTGAAAGTCGCTTAATGTAGCCGCTTCGTTGTAGCTGCCATTTGCTTGCGAGTTGGCATGGAAAAATTTGGTCAGAACAAGGTCGAACTCACTGACAAATATGTTTTCAAATTCTCTAACTTCTTTTGTTGACTAACACAACTTCTTTTAAGTCGCTCTTAGTCTTCTATTGGGTGCTTTTTACTTCTGGACGTGCAAAAACTTCTCAACTTCTGGTATTTAGCTGCTGTTTTAATCTGATGGCCTGAGTTGAACTTACATTTAACAAAGTTTGCTCTAGACGCCGCGGTCAATATCTATTTTAGCCAATCATATTAGTATATTTAGTGGTCCCCAGCCGTGTGGCACACGACCATA